TTAGATAACCATCGAGGCAATGTGCAAAAGCAAGGAATTTGAAAGACTAGAGATTTGTGCAGAACGTGGGAAGATAAACTTTAGTCTTGAGTAGTTTAGCGTCGTAGGATAGGGTATATACACGGGTTCGCATCACTTATGTATATAGCCCCAGAAAATGTGATCAATGCTGAATTGCTGATCCCTTTACTCTGGTTTTTCCCTAGACTTTCATAATCCAATTTGAAAAGTTAGCTTGCTTTGCTTGCAATTGAAAGCGAATATCATTTATATATTGTTTACTAAGTTAGAATGAGGCAAACTCGTAAGTGCTTTAACGCTGGCTAACCACATCATAAATTCCACATAAAATGTCTGTCGTCCTTGGACTCAGAACCCACTGCTTTTTTGGATCCCTCCATGGGTTATGCTCTAAGCCAGCGCCAAAGCTGATAAAGTCCGTTCCGCGTTCTATCCGAAATTAAAAGATATGAGATCCTTCCAAATGTGAGCTTACTCAAGACCTTCAATTTGCAATAAAAAGGTTCGAAAAGGTTTTAACAAGTGATTATCTTTGTGCTTAACAGGACTGAAAATTACAACGATAAAAAGTTTTATATTTCTGTCGGGACCTTATATTGTGTCATAGCTTTGTAGTACTATCGAAATGATTAGTTAGATTCTCTCTTCCTAAAAAAATATAAGGTAAAAGATTAACATTAGACTCCTCCAACTTTCATATACCCTAACATGGATATTTTAAAACTGTCTATATTTTTCCAGAACGGAGAGTACGACAAGCTATCAACTATCCATAAAGAGTCAGTTGTACATGGCGGAGCTCATTCAGGACCTGCCTTCTTACCATGGCATCGTGAGTTAACGAAAAGGTGAGGAAATTGTTTTAGCTATTTGAGTGATATCTAAAGAATCTAAACTTAGGAAGCCACTCTTGTACGCCAATTTTCATTACGTTAGATGCTTCTAAACCTTAGGGAAAATTTCATTTAAATATGTATTATACTTCGTAGATTCATTACGAAGAAAGTCAAATTGCTTACTATCTTTATTGCCTATTTCTTTTTCCTTAGTTAATAACAAAATCATAAAAGGTACCACAAACGTTTGTTCTACTAACTTACCTAATCTACCAGAAAGTATATTGTGGTCTCTAGTAAAATAGCTCTCGATCTTTTTTCCTAAAAAGCAAGAGCTTTCGCATGGCTGGTTGCCAAAATTGGTTCTTAATTCCCCATTTTTCATAAAATTTGTAAACCTGTGACAATCTGCTCCCTAGCCAGAAGTAGCAAAACGTAATAGTTTCATGATATCCACCTGACTTTTTAGAGTTTAAAACATTACATAATCGGAGCCACACTTCCTAAGGACTCAGTGCTTCAAAGATATGATGATGTTAATCGGCGACAGCCCTGATGGTTACAATTTTCTAAAACAGCTTGCATACAATCTGTGCTTTAACTGTTTTGTTTGTTAATGTGAAAATCCTATTAGCAGATTTCAAGTGACCAACATCTCTTGTAAAGTGCTGAATTATCAACAGTCCTGGCATTTGCTGAGACAAGTTTTCGAAAGGTTGAACGCAGCTTCCTAGAATTCTCTGCCTTTATCGGTTCTTGTTTGACATTACATCAAACGTCATAAAGCACACACGCGATGTTCTGCTCTCTTGTGAGGAAATTGGCTCGGAAGGCTCAAGGTACAACCTTTTTTATAGCGCAGATGTTATAAGTCATAATTTCTACAAAGGACGGGAACTTTTAGCACAAATTTTAGCGGACATGCTACAAATCGCCTCTAATACTGCATAGAAATTCTTTCGAGACATTCTACTATAAGCAATTACATAAAATCTATGTTGAAGGTGAAAGTTAGATTCCCACTCAATTTTATAACTTTCTGCCTTTTAAGATTAGGCAAGTTCAAGAAACTTTGTTCAGAAAACATCAGCAGCGAAAGTGAGTGTACTATGTAATTGATTCTTGAAAAACACAAAAAGATGTCTTTCTATGTACCAGGTCTCTATACAGCTATGTTATATATGAAGATTCTTATATATCTTACATATTCTTTACGGTGGTACTTTATTAAGGTCTGTAACAGCTCCATCTATTTGCTATTTTTAGATTCGAGTTCGCTCTTCGCCAGATTGACCCCAACCTCTATCTCCCGTACTGGGATTCAACGATGGATGGTGCACTTGCAAGACCTCAAGACTCAGTTATATTCTCGTAAGAGATGAACTTATATATTTATGGTAAATATCACAAAAACCAAAATTTGTCCAGAGCTGAGCTGGAAGGAACAACTGATGCGAGAGGTTTCATAAACAGTGGCCCTTATCTGAATTTCCGAACCCTGGAGGTACGGAACTACATCATTTTTATGCGAGTAAAGTGTTTTATTGAGAATCTATCATCAGGGAAATCCCCAAGCGAGAAGAGCAGTAGCTGCGCAAGGACAAACGATGAAGGATAGCGATATTGA